ATGTAACAAAGTCAAATTCAAGAATAGGCTGTAAATCTAATTGAAAATGTTTACTCTCTTGCCCATCTAAATATTTATTAAATATGTGCATACATACATACATATGTATATGTACATATATATTTCCTCCTACTACCTATAAAATCGTAAAGAGTTTTTATGGTAAATTTTCCCCTGTTTGTTGGCTTTTTCTTTGGCTTGACTCGTTCGTCAGAATTAATTGTTTTCACTTCTTTGGAATTGAGGCGCCAGGTCAGGGAACTGAGCCAAATAGCCAGACCTTTTCCACAAAAGTCAGCAGACATTTTCTTTTATTATGCTCAAAAAAAAGTAAATGAAATAAATAAAGAAATAAAAACTCGAGTCAATTCAAATATTGATTTGAGCTAAGCGAAATTTATGCATCGTACGCGACTATTTCAAATGAAACATTAAAATTCCATTAGCGGATGCGTTGTACATAAATTTCAGAGCTTCCCAGTCGATGTCGACGGGTGGGGGCCTTATCGACGGGGTGGGTCAGCTGGCCAGAAATTATGCATTTTGTTTGGCTTTAATTGCAGCGCACTCTATTTACTTAAATCGGAGCTGCAGCAGCAGCAGCAGCAACACCAACAGCTTTGGCTCAGTTCACTCGAGTCGCGATAATCAAAAATAATTTATAGAAAATAAATATTTCCACACAATGCGCCGCCGCCCTCGTTGCTGAGAAAACAACTTGAGCTGCTCCGCTTTCGAGGCGGTGTTCGCTCCATCGTGCCCTTGTTTATTTAAGTTGTCATTAGAATGGTGCAGCAGCTCCATCCACAGCAGCCGCCGTCGGCCTCGTGCAGCCAGTCGCCGGGCGGCATATAAACTTTTCAAATTATCACCGAGGCGCACTGCAAGTGCCCCGGGCCCCTGGGGAGGGGGGAATGCGCCCATTGGGGGCGCGTTCAACCGGCTGCCACTTGAGAAGTAAGCGGCGTACGTGGAAATCGCATGGCTATGTGAAATGGAAATGGAAATGGCGATGGAGTTGGAGATGGAAATGGGAATGGAGCCCCTGCTAAACAAACTGTGCTGTGCCCGGTTAGCTCGTTTCATGGAAATCTCGCAGAAAGTTCGCTGGGCGCCAGCCATCAGACGGCCGGATATGGAAGACAGTATTTTGTGTTCTGCTGCTGCGATTGAACTGTTTATCGAGCATGTTTAGGAAATGTGTTGCGAATAAGCCGAGAGCTTGGCTAGTCAAGAAGGGAAACAAATACAAATAGAAATACTATATGTAGATCGAGTAGATGCGAATGAGTGCAGCTGTCGGATTTGTTGCCGCATAAGGACGAAAAGCCCGGGCCATATATCTGCGGGCATTATCAAGTAATAAGTATAAACAAACTATGTGCTTAAGCAAACTGTTTACAATGGCTGTTGTCCTGGCCGTAATGGCTCGTATATCACATGGCTGCCACTGGGCTGCTTGAGGCCAACTGCCGAGCAACAGGCAACAGGCAATGCTAAAAGTAAACGTAAGCGTAAACGTAACTTTAAAGCCGCTTACGGCTATAGCCAAATGCCATGGCAAACGAAGCAGGTCAAGTCACAAACATAAGGATTACCGCAAGGCAACTGAGACGGCGGCAGGTGCTACTCCTGCCACAACAGCAACAACAATAGCAACCGCTCGAGATGAGGGAGAGCAGGGCAGGAGACGATGTGGCTGAGCAGGCAACACAATAGCCAACACGAAAGGCAATGGCAAAAGCGATTCTGTCAAAATATTTACGATATGGCTCCGGCAATGGCTGTTAAAATGTAAGGACACACTCACACACGCACACACAAGGACACAGGACACATGCTCGGACGGACATGTGTTGTCGAGTCACCCACACACACACACACACACATTCACACACACACCTACTTAGCGCACTTTTCGCAGTTTTCACATAAGATATGAGATACATATATGTATATATATACGTGTAAGGATACGCTCGCATCTTGGCAGGCCGCACATGCCATTATCCTGGCTGTGTGTGCGGCCAAGGCCAGGCAGCGACGCTAGTCGAAATTGATTTGTCTCTCTCGCTGCCTGGCGTAGGCGCTACCACCCAACACTTTCGGAGCCAGCCTTTATCCTCTTATCCCAAAAACATTGTCATGTAAAATTAAAATTTATGGCTAATTTGTGTGACCGAAACAGTCTCTCGCTCTCCTCTCACTCCCTCTTGCTCTATCTCTCTCTATTTTTTCATTGTATTTTTCTCAGCTGGTTTCTCTTGGTATTTTGGGCTGGAGTTCCGTCTCTTATCTGATGCCCAATTTCCAAGTCAGGCCATAAATTTTCACAGTTTTTCGCTGGAATATGGAAAGCAGATGACTCAGCGCTAATGGGCTTATCGGGCATAATACCCAGTGTATTGCTAAGCCGATTTAGTAAAACTCGCTTTGTTTAAAATTTTTGGAATTATGGTTTTAGCTCTTTATTTATTTGTATATATCCGTATTTGCAATCGTATTCGTATTCAATTTTTACCCTTGTTATTAAATTTTCCAAAAAATCTTTGTATATTGATTTTCACTAGATTTTATTGTGCAGTGTTTTATAAATATGTGCTTTACATTATCGTAGTCATATGTATATACTTTAAAACTTATCGATCTAACATACATCATTGTATAGATAAATATCACTATATTTGATTTCGGTTCAAGGTTCTTTAGCTACACTTATCTTAAGTAAATGCTCGGAGATTGCAGAAAAGCCTGGCCAATCTCAATATGTAAGTCGCATACATATCTCTGATTATGTATATGTATGTGTAGTTGTGTGTGTGTGTGTGTGTGTGTGTGTATGTGCGGGTATTTGAGTCTTTCGTGAATGAAACTAATCAAGAACTTAGAACGTAAATCGTGTTACGATATAAACTATATACAAAAACCGACCATGAGACTCTAAGCATAAGATTTGGCAATATAACAACGTTTACATAGACTAACTGGACTTTCGGCTAACTATGGTAAGATTATGAGGAATTCGAGGACCGTCGCTGCGCTGCATTATGGACTAGCCACGCCCTTTACAAGTGCGCGCTCCTAACGCCCCAAAGGCGACGGCCGCCTAGACATAGCGCGTAATCTGTGAATAGAAATCAGATAGGCAGGACTGCAGCTGCGCAAAGGTTGGACGTTCACCGGGAAGCAGAGCCCAGCAGTAGGCCATGATGGTAAATCTGTAAAGAGAGAAAGAGAGAGGGAGAAAGATATGGAAAGAGAGATAAGCTATACTGTATAAAGTTAGGGCTTTGACGTTGTCTACTTACAGCTCATCAGGGCAATTGAAAGGCTGAGCCAGGCGGTACCCGTCCTTCAGGTAGTGCTCCATTTCGAAGGGATCCACCTCGGCGTAGGGCTGCTTGGCCGATGTGCAGAGCTCCCACATGAGCACACCGAAGGCCCAGGAGTCACTCGCCTCGGAGAACTGCTTGTGCTGCAGTGCCTCCAGCGACATCCACTTGATGGGCCGGTTCTCGCTGTCGCCCAGGCAATTGTAGTCCGAGGGGAAGAGATCGCGCGATAGCGAGCTGTCGGATAGCTTCACGCGCAGCTGATCGTCAATACTAAGAGGGGCAGAGGGAGACACAAGAAATACACACGTAAAGATCACTTCATCAGGAGAGATCTTCGACTCTTTTCTACTCACACGCAGTTCCGAGCGGCGATGTCCTTGTGCACCACACCATGGCTGTGCAAATGGTCCAGAGCCATGGAGAGCTGGGAGGCCATCATCACAATCTGGATGGTGGTGACGGTGCGTGCGCAGGCGGGATCCAGCAGGAAGAGCTTCAGGTTGCGTGTGTTGTTCACGGCGGGGTACAGGACAAACGGCGTTGTGTGGTCCTCAATGGAGACGCCCAGGACGGAGAGTATGCCGGGATGGGAGGCGCCGTAGAGCAGCATGCCCTCCTGCAGCAGCAGCAGCACCTGCATCTGGCTGGCGTGCTGGGCCACCGTCTTGACGAGCACGTCCTGGCTGTCGTTGTAGGTGCCGCGATAGACGCGCCCGAAGGTTCCCTCCTGCAGCAGGCTGGAGAGCCGCACGCGACAGCGCTCCACGGTCAGCTCGGAGATGCGACGATGCAGCTCCTCCGGCTGCTGCTGCTGCTCCACGCACACCGCTACCTTCCGGGGCAGGGACGAGGCATGCGCCGGCCCGATCAGCGAGGGCGTCATGTAGGCGGCGGAGCCCATGGACGACTGGCACGGCGGCTGCGTGTTCAGTCGCTGGAAGCTGGAGGTGCGCATCGGCTGGCCGCCGTGCTGATGGTGCTGCCGCTTGGCCGCCGCGCCGCGCACACAGTACGCAATCACGAGGAGTACGCAAACGGCGCTCATGGCCACCGTGACGCCCACCACCAGGGTGATGAGGCCCGTGGGCGGCGGCAGCACTGTTTCCAGCAGCTGTGGGTCATCCACATCGTGGCCCGCCGTCTGCAGCTGCTCCTCGTCGCTGTCAGTGAGCAAACAGATCTTCTTGCGCCGGAATACCAAGTGGGTGACATTATTCAGAGCACGATTCAGCATCACCTCCATGCTGATGGTCACATCCACCTCCGCCGCGCGCACTCCGCTGCACCTCAGCGCCACCGCCCACGTTTGAATGTGCGTCGGAATCTCGCCAATGTGCGACACATTCAGCGCCGGCCGCGGCAGCACCTCCTGGTCGGAGCTAACCACGTTCAGGCTGTACGGCAGCGGCCGCCCCGCCAGCGACTGCCACGTGAAGCTCACGTCCCGCACATTCGCCGGCACCGGCACAATGAAATTGAGCGCATAGTTGTTGATATGGCCCTCGCGCACATAGTAAACCTCAGCCGAGACGCCTACAATATGAGAGCAGCATAAAGACGGTCGATTAGTATCAGCATTACGAACAAAGCGGTTGATATCAGATAATAGTGCCATATCAGGCAATGTGAGGAATGTGCGTTATATGGTAACCAATTGCGGATTGTCGTGAGATAATATATGAAGAAAAGACTTGTGTCTGATTGATACATACTTAAAATATATACAATATAGTCTATAAGCCTGCGATGCACAGAAAGCAAGTTTAAGAGTTCTTCATAATCAGTTCGTTCCGTATCTGTTACAAACATTTACACTAGACCTAGAAAATCTCGACTTTGGCCTAGGCTTGATAAGAAATTGCGCAACTACAGATTATGCGATTGCTAATGTTTTAATCAAGTTGAATTTCAACTCTCTCTTGCTCTCTCTATATACATATATTTATTTTTATATACACCTGATGCTGACGGGTTTAATAAATGAGATAGGAGAGATTGGTTTGAGTTTCTCTCTTGAATGAGAGCTGTGCGTGGTATATTGATAATAACATGCGTTAAGAATTATTGATAAAGATAAAGAGTCTTACAATTCAAATACAAATTTCAGTCAGCTATCATCTCTTATATGAGTGAACTAAAACTGAGCAGTTAACACAATATACATATATATGTTTTATAATGTATGTGAGCAACTAATTGTTAACCTCCAGGCTATTGTAAAAAAAAAAATCCTGATTTTATAGTTTATTACATTTTGGAAATTTACAAAGTAATATAAAGTAATCTTTCATTTATTTCAGATTTTTAATATGTTACTCTTTCATATTGTATATTTTTTTTTTATTTATTTAAAATTTGTATTTATTTCATTTGAATTTTTTTTATTTATTTATTTTTAATATCATTACTCTTTGAATAGCGTTTGAGTGGCGGTTGGAGTAGAAACAGGGGATATTAGAGTAGAGAGATGAATGAGATATAAAATAAAAGACCTCATTCAAAATATGTATTGAATTTCCCTGAATTGAACTGATTTAAAGGATATTCTATTAGCTGGATAGCACATTTTCTACAGAGAGATACGCATACTATACCAAGGTATGTCATTTTCTTTTGTGGCTCTTCGCTTGTGGAAAGGCATTGTAAAATTAAGGGATTTCCTATTTTATTTACAAACTCATAATCAAGGCGTAAAATACGTTGAAAAAGTCTAATTGGTTTGCTGGGTTTCAGTTCTGCGAAAACCACATTCCCCTGCCAAATACCACACTGACCATCAAGTGGCTTGATAACCCAACCTTAAATTGACAAGGAAAAGCTCGTGCGATTCGCAAGACCGCAAGCCACATTGAACTAGTTCATTTAAGCAGCGAACCATTCGCATCACGTGCAGCAATCGACAAATTTATGGAAACGAACTCATGCACTTAACATGTAAATTTATCTAGATGCACTCAATGCGCCCGGATTTCCAGAGCGACAGAGACAGAGAGAACGAACGACGATGAGGGATGGAGATGGATGGAGGCCGACTACGTATTTTGTATAAATAAACATGCGCGACCGAGTTTAGGGAATTCCTCGAAACTATTTTCGAGTTTATCAGTATCTGCATCTGCAACCGTAGCTGTTTCTCTATTTGTATCTGTATCTGTATCTGTATCTGTATCTGTACATGCATGTGCATCTGTATCTGTATGTGAGTCTAACAAAAACAAGTCGTGTCGCCAGGCCGCAGATTCTGATTCAGTTTCAGTTATTAAGGCGAAGCCGCAACGGGCAAAAAAGGTAAGAAGACAAACAGAAATGAGCCATGACCATGTCTGAGATATGTTCTTTAGCTCGTGATTGTTCTTGCTCCTCTCCCTCTCTCTTTATCTCCCTCTTACTATTTCTTTCATTTCCATTTGTATTGTTGTAGTTATGATTCTACATTTTGTTGGGTTTATTTGCGGTTTGACCAAAAACAAAATCGAGTTAATGAACCATCTAGAGACCCCTGCCAGCAATTGCCAACTCATTTTCGTTTCTTTTGCTTGTTTATGCTAATGATTATCTGGAAGAAGTTCAGGTAGTCCCAAAGAGATTACAAGTAGTTCAAATGATAAGCAGAGACCACACACACGAGAACTCACTGAGTTCCATCTGATAATTGTTTAGCAAGTTTTTCTCCACTTATATTCGTCCATTTAATTGCTGCTACCTCTATATTACCTCTATATTAGTCTCAATTATAGCAGAGTGCGGACAAATGAACTATTTCAATTTTAGGCCATTTTTCAGAATGCCTAACGATCTATACGTAATGCAATTATTTCTATCATTAATTAGTGAATCGTGCTTAGCTGCCCTTTATTGTATCTATACAATCTTTTATCGTACTTCTTTATCCACTGAACTAGATGATACTTTACCTATTTATTATTTCAAATTATGAGCAGAGACCACACATGAGAACTCACGTAGTTTTATCTGATGATTGCTTAGCATTTAGTTTCATACTCTTAATTAATGTCAATAAGTCTTAATTTCATTAGTGTGCACACAACTGAACTAGTTCAATTTTAACAGGGAACTACTGAGAAGAATTGTCCATTACATAATAATATATAGAATGCAATTATTAGTATTATTTACCAGTGAATCATGCCTAACTACACTTTATTGCATGTATACATATATTAAATCTTTTGAACCATTGAACTAGTTCAGCTAGTTTACTTATTCATTGAATTGAACTAGAATTGAAAAACTCTCAGCTGTCAATAGCATAAATATAAAATATGTCAGGGTAAATTTACATAGTTGATAGAGTTAAACAATTCTGTGGAAATACCCAAATATATTTCACTGCGGGCCTTCACTTTGGTGCATTCAACTCTGTGCCCAGCAGGCGGCAGGCGGCAGTCGTTGGAGCCGCGGAAAAGCACAGGAAATAATTTAGGAAAAATGGAAAAGTGGAGTGCAGAGAGTGCGGAGAGCGGGGCACACACTTCCTTTGACAACTGGCAATAACAATAAAAATCAGTGAGCATGTAGGTTGACATAGACATAGACATAGACATCGAGCATAGAGCATAACAGAGGGCAGACCGAGAACTGGCTGGCTCGGAGCGCGCCGAATGTCTCAACTAGGCGGCGACGAAGTCGCGTATAAATTGTGTCAGCCAGAGATACGCTGGCCCACAGTAGGTGGCAGCACTAGGGACAGAGTCGGCGAGGCTGCGAGGCTGTGAGGCTGAGGCAGACAGCCATGTCGCGTCGTTGCGACTTCCTCTTGAATGTGCAACATGTTGCACACTCTCTGCATGTGTGCGTGTGTGTGTGACAAATTCCTCGCTAGCATTTTAAAAATAGCGCCCATGACTTAATCAAATGCAATGCCCCGCAGGCCGATCGGCCGCACGCTTCCATTGACCCTTTCGACGGTGACTCTGACTGTGTGAGGCAGCTCCATCTCTATGGAGTGAGCGAGTGGCATGCAGCACTAGCTGCAGTTCACAGGTTCATGTGAAAGCTAGAGCTTGCCTCTTACGGCCCGCCGAACGGTTGAGGCTGTCTTCAAGTGGCGTCGTCTACCTTCATGTCACGAGCAAATGTCACTCGCATGCGCTTGCCTCGACGGCTCTTGAACTTTTTTAACCTTTGTGTGCGCCATGTTCATAACTAGCTTTGCCGGGGCGTGCCTAGAGCTACAGTTGTAGCAACAGCAACAACGGCAGCAGGAGCAGCAGCAGGAGCCGGAGGAGGAACCACAGCGCGCAGGCAGGCAGGAGCCATTGGTACCATATCCGTATCGTATGTCGAATTTTTCAGAGCGTGCAGTCATGACGATGTTGTTGTTGTTGTTGTTGTCGCTGATGTTATTGTTATGGCTAAACCTATTGCTGCTGTTGTTTGGCAGTATTTTTTAATAGCTTTGCTACCGAACCGTGAGTCGTGACCATTGTGCAGCCAATGCGCTGGAGGACTGCTCTCGCTGGGGCAGAAAGGAACTAAATCGAAACTAGACAACGACAACAACGACAACCAAGACACTCAAAAATGTGTTTTCCATTTTCTTGTAATTAGCGTTGCAACTCGTGAGCTCGATATACACAAATGTCGACTGGCAGCAGGCTTAGACTGAGCCCAGCTCAGACTGCAGTTGCTTCATTTGTCAACTGCCTCTTGGCCCGTTGCCAACTTGGAGCTTAGAGCCGATCGAATTGCAATTGCTGATAAATGATGCGCACGCTTCGCATTAAGCCGACTAACCTCCTGGCTAATATGTCACACACTTGGCCAAAGCGAAATATAAATAATACAAATGGTCTGCTGTTGCCCGGTGACAGCGGCTCGGTTTTAGTCCACCCTAATGTGACTGGGCCAGATATGTATATCGCTTACAGGCTAACAGCCACGCCTCGCCACGCCCCGCCACGCCCTGCCTCCCGAAAGTAAAACGCCTATCACATGTCAACATTTAACATGAGTTTTTGAGCTTTGCCAGGCGACGTATCTTTGGCTCTAACGCTAGAATGTATCTGTATCTGTATCTGTATACGTATCCATGTAGCCTCTGTGGATGCTGCTGTTGCTGCAAGTCGTGCCCGTTGCTGTCTCTCACGTCGTTATGATAAATGATGCGCCTTTTGTTCTTCACGTTGTTGCTTGTTGTTTTTCCTAATATTTTACTGAGTTTTTTGTTTTTTTTTTTTTTTTCGTTTGTATTTCTGCTGTTTTTGGGGTTTATTCCGCTTTTGGAGCCGCGGCCGCATCGTTCTCGTTTCTGGTTACTCGTTTACGGCTTTGATTGTAACAAATTTGTGCCAGGCTAAATTAGCCATGTTTTTTCTGTGTTCTTTTATTATTATTTTTGTATTGTATTGTTTTTCGTTTTGGCCGGCGCATGGCGGCAGCCTCTTCAGTCAGTTGGCGGGCAACCATTTGGCACAGATTTTACTTTTAGCTCTCGGCCCGCAAATTGGCTTAAATTAATCATTCAAATTTCTTGCCTGACGCTTTGACTAGCTGACAAAAGTTTATGGCTC